GAGAGAATGGAAGGGAAAAAGTTGGAAGAGTTCATTGGCTGACTGGCTTTTGCAAACTGTTTTTTTCTTCTTCTGCAAAATAAGGCATTGGATGTCATTATGCAAACACTCAAAGTAGACAAACTGAAACTGATACAAAGGGAATTCCTAACAACCCTTTACAGTCGAACATGTATGGTAGCTTAATGAGATCCCAAAAATCTATGAACTGTAACTCATAAAATTAAGCAAAATTCAGCAACAGGCGATGCAGCTAGAGTTGCTGGTCCCCAGGCCAGAAGTCAGTAGTCTACAGTCAGAGAAAGACTCCATTAACGAAGAAGAAAAGTTTGAAGCTCATATTTAAAGAAAAAAAACAAAACATCTGGAGAATAATGGGGATTCGATTACAGCAATTCTCTAGGTCACTTTGCCAATCTAAATGAGGGAATTTCCTGCATTTTCTCTACAGCTAAATCCACTATTTTTCAGATATGTCAGATGGGGAATGATTGTAAAAAGGCTGCTGGGTCTATTACAGGTAGGCTGAAATTTGACTCTGCTTAGAGATTGGGCAGGGTACTCAGAAATATTCTGCCCTCTAGTGAGGTTTATGCTTCCCAACAACAGAGAGAGGAATGTTTTTAGTGGCAAAGCCAGTTAAATTTCCTCGCGTAGATGTGGTTCAGATGCAATGCTAGTGGATGCTTTTTGCTTTGTCCCAGGTTTCGTTATTCTATTAACAGGATGAAGCTGGCAATCATATAGGTCCACACATAAAAAAGAATTCCATGAACTTTTAGGGCCCAGCTAACTGGCTTAATCTTACAAAACTAAGTAGACTCAACCTCCGCTCTTCAAGCTTCCCTCAATTTGCAAAGGTAGGTTTTGAGAAGTTATCTTTGCCTCTCAGGATGAATAACTGGTTGGAAGAGAATGCACCGATCCACAAATGATGTGTACCTGTTACGGATTGTGTGTGCATCATGTGTCCTTCCCCCCTGCGAATGTTGGTTTGACAAACTAAGAAAGCGCGCTGCATCAGTTGTAGTAGTTATGAGTGCATCCCTGAGACCCGAAAGAACAGGTTAGGGATCAATCCAAAGTGAAGCTATCGAGGTGGCCGGCTCTTATGAAAACCGCTTTTTGACGCATATAATAATCGATCAAAAACCTTGCAAACGAGTGTTTTTCAGCTTGATGACGCTAGAGGGCGCTCCATGCAATGAGTAACACCTACCGGTAAAAAGCGGGTCAATACAGTAGAGCGGCGTCGATGGTGGGTGAGTACCCACATCCAACGAGAGGGGAGCGACGGAGCCTAAAGGTGTTGAAACAATAGAGTCGTGGATTTCTAGAGAGGATGTGGAAGAGAGGAGAACAACAGAGGGATCTCCTTTTCCGGCTGACCCATCGGAGGATGGAGGCGTTGGGAATACCTCTCCTGCTTTCCCAGGACTTTAGCTGCTGGAAGGTGAGTTGAGGACAGGTCGGAGGAGAAGCCGGGTGCAAGTAGGGCTGTTTCGATTCCTCCACAGTGTAGAAGCAAAGAAGAAACCAGGCTGAAACATATCAGCTGTTGCAGCCTGTTCCTTCCCTCTCCAAATGTTGCTCTAGAGTTGCTTGTTGGGTTCTCCTGCTTGGATGGGTGACCTGTAGTATATACCTATGATGGTGGAGATGAGTACCGCGTCCTAGAGTCAGAACAGAATGACAGGGGAATCTTTAGACTAACTTTATTACCACTTTGAATGTTCACTAACTGGCATACATTATCATGAAATTTCATTGCACACAGCTCTCAAAGAGTCACCACCTCCAATATACACTACAGAAACATGACAAAATAATTAAATACAAAATTACGCATATATCCACATATATTATATGACACAGTGAAACAACACAGTCTAGTTTAGATGTATACATGTACATGGCAAGAAAAACGAATCCTGTGAGTTTTCCAGGCGGATGGCACAGGGAACAAAGCTGTTACAGAATCTGGAAGTCCTGATACTTTGAAACCTCATCCCAGAGGGGAGCAACAGAAACAGACCGTGAAGTGGGTGTGTGGGGTCTCTAACAATGCTTTGAGCTCTAAGCACATAATGTTTATAAGCAGTATGCTGAATAATGGGAAGCCAGCTTCCTATAATCTTCTCGGCTGTCCTCACCACTCTCTGTATGGACTTTCTATCTGAGGCGCTGCTGCCACCAAACCAAACAGGGATGCAGTTTAGATAACAGATAATCAGAGTTGGAAGGGACCTTGTAGGTCATCTAGTCTAACCCCCCACCCAAGCAGGAGACCCTATGCCATTTCTGACAAATGGCAGTCCAATCTCTTCTTGAAAGTCTCAAGTGATGGCGCTTCCACAACTTCTGAGGGCAATCTGTTCCGTTGGTTGGTTGTTCTCACTGTCAGAAAGTTTCCCCTTATTTCCAGGTTAAATCTCTTCCTTGTTCAGTTTCCATCCATTATTCCTTGTCTGGCCTACAGGTGCTTTAGAAAACAGCTTGACCCCCTCCTCTCTGTGGCAGCCCCTCAAATATTGGAAGACTGCTATCATGTCTCCCCTGGTCCTTCTCTTTACTAGACTAGCCAAGCCCAGTTCTTGTAACTGTTCTTCATATGTTTTACTCTCCAGTCCCCTAATCATCCTGGTTGCTCTTCTCTGTACTTTTTCTAGAGTTTCAACATTTTTTTTATAATGTGGTTTGTTGAAATGCTCTCAATTGTGCCTCTGTAAAAAGTGGCTATGGCAAATCTGTATAATCTGTCCTCAGCCTTTTCTGATATATTTGAAAATAAGAGTTTGCACTGCTAAGAGTTTGTGATTTAATGAAGTCCAGAAGGGAATTTAATGTTTGTGTAGATATTTGAACTTGGATCTCGCTAGTTTTCTCGGGGTTAAATGAACCATAGTTAATGTTAGAGGTTAAAGTAGCATTTTGGCATGTTTGCTTTTTCATTATAATCCAGGCTTTTCTGTGTTGCTGTTTTCGCATATTTGGCAACGACTTTTTAAAAAACCATTAAACTGAGGGTTTCTGTCCATTTTTTAGAAAAAGGGGATGCCAGGAAGATCATTCCAGACAAGTGAGAATCCAAACCAGCATTAAAAAAGAAAGAAAATGAAGCCAGCATTGAAAGTCTTTTCTGCCTCCTCCAGAAAAATGAAAAAAACCTTCGTTCACAGGAAGGTGTCAGACAAAAGAGAGAATAACAGGAACAAAATTTTGAGCTAGAAAAAAATGAGTATATGGAACTCAGGGAAGCATTGCAGAGAAAGGTCAAAGGGATAATTTTTCAAATTCAGAAAAATGGAAATAATCTGGAAATCAGTAGGGAGGAAGGGGTCACTTGTATAATTACACTGGACAGGCTGTCATGCAAGCCTTGCCCTGTGAAGAAAGCATAGCTTGAATGAAAGCAACATCCAAGATAATATATTTGATCTTGAGAATCCAAAAATATCAATCTGTGGGAAATCCTCAGATTGCAGATCACACCTGATTATACACGAGAGGAACCACACTGAAGAAGAGTCTACCCACTGTCCTCAATGTGGCACAAGATTTAGGAAACATGCTACCCTAGTAACACAAAAGAGGCCTGAAATGGGGGAGAAGTCATTTGGGTGTTCTGACTGTGGGAAAACATTCAGTAGGAATTCTCACCTCGTGACACACCAGAGGACACACACAGGAGAGAAACCCTTTGAGTGTCCAGATTGTGGGAAAGGCTTCAGTCAGAATTCCCACCTGGTGACACACCAGAGGACTCACACTAGGGAGAAAGCATACGAATGTCCAGATTGTGGTAAAGATTTCAGTCACAATTCCAACCTGGTGATTCACCAGAGGACTCATACAGGAGAGAAGCCCTATGAGTGTCCATATTGTGGGAAAGCTTTCAGTCATAATTCCAACCTTTTGAAGCACCAGAGGACTCATACAGGAGAGAAACCATATGAGTGTCCAGATTGTGGGAAAGGTTTCAGTCAGAATTCCCACCTTCTTAAACACCTGAGGACTCACACCCGGGAAAAAAGTTACAAGTGTCCAGATTGTGGGAAATGTTTCTTCTGTAATTCCAACCTGATGATGCACCAGAGGACTCACGCGGGGGAGAAGCCATATGAGTGTCCAGATTGTGAGAAAAGTTTCAGTCAGAATTCCAGCCTTGTTAAACACCTGAGGATTCACACTCGGGAGAAACGGTACAAGTGTCCAGATTGTGGGAAAGGTTTCAGTCATAATTGCGACTTTGTGAAACACCTGAAAACTCACAGAGGAGAGAAACCCTTTGAATGTCCTGATTGTGGGAAAAGTTTCAGTCACAATTCTAAGCTTGTGAAACACCAGAGGACTCACACAGGGGAGAAACCGTATAAGTGTTTGGATTGTGGAAAATGCTTCAGTTGGTATTCTGGCTTAGTGATACACCAGAGGACTCATACAGGAGAAAAACCCTTTGAATGTCCTGATTGTGGGAAAGGTTTCAGTACTAGAACTAACCTTATAAATCATGTAGCTTTACACACAGGGGAGAAACCTTTCAAGTGCCCAGAATGTGGAAGGTGCTTTACATATTATTCCTCTCTTACTGCACACAAGAAAATCCATACGAAGCATAAGCTGATGACTGTAGGGGAGGCTTGAATTTCATTTCTGAGTTGCCTTTAGAAGTATGGCTGAGAAATTAAGTATTTACTTTCTGGCCTGATTGTGTTTAGCCAAAGATGTCTCATGTTAGGCATGAGGGAGGAGAGAAAAGAAATGAAATGGAAAAGGTTAGCTTGATCAAGGTTAACTACTTGTGTCTTGGCTATCAGCAAAATGTAGTGGATATTCCCTGTTGCAAAAATAATGCAACTGTGCCAAAAGTTTTTGGGGATGATTTTTGCATATAGAATAAATGAGGTCGTAGAAAAGCAAAATACAGATTTTAAGAAACCTACAGATGCTAAGATATATATATTAGAAGATAGGAGCACGTTGATTTACTTAGTGATTATAGCTTCCCAAATATGAGATAATGGGAGCAGAGTTTTCATCTTTTCCTAACATTTTCAGAAATTCAGGGTAAGATGAATCCAGATTGTGAAGAGTCAAGCAAGAACAGTGACCCCCAGAATGGAGAACATATGAGGGAGGTTTGGGGCAGTAACAAGAGCACAAATACCTTGCAAGTAAAAGTTGTTGACCATGGCATGCAAATGCTTTTGGAATATAGAGAAAAACAGAACAAGGTTTTTGAATGTAGGATCTTCAGGTTTTCTACCAACTCCTGCTATGCTTGGAGGTGCCTCTTGTTATCCTTTGAATGCTGGTGTGTGATAGCAGTGGAAGTTGCTAATTTTTCCCCCTGAATTTAGAAGACACCAAAGAATTCAAGGGTTCCCCTTGTCAATAACACAGCTCAGGTTATAACACAATGTGCCTGTGAACCCGAACACACAGAAACTACAAAGCACATATTTCTCCAGGGGCTTTATTAAACCGACATTAATATCGGGCTTGTCTTTCCAATACTGCATAAATACTCAGGCCGCACAGAACAATTCTACAGATGCTGCTCTCAGAGTCGCTCTGATACAAACCACAGTACTATGTCTCCAGGTTCTGCAGAGCAGCACTTAAAATTGGTCTGATGATGGATGACCTGTGCCATAAAGTAGTCTTAAGGATTATACTGTGTGCACTGTAGAGCGATAGATTTAATCTGACACGTGCTAAACTTAATGCACCCTATAGGAATCTTATGCTCCTTGCAGTGTTCTTAGATCCATTTAGGCCTCTGTTTTTATATATATACTCTGTCATTTATGTCTCTCTTTTTTTTTATATAATTACTATTTTTATCCTGTGATTACTTTCTCTACTTTTTAACTGACTGCACCCTACATTCAGTGGTGGGATTCAAAATTTTTTACTACCGGTTCTCTAGCCGTGGCTTGGTGGGTGTGGTGTGGTTTGGTGGGCATGGCTTGGTGGGCATGGCCAGGGGTGGGATTCAAATTTTTAATAACTGGTTCTGTGGGCGTGGCTTGGGTACTGGGCGTGGCTTGGTGGTCATGTGACTGGGTGGACATGGCTTGGTGGTCATGTTATTGGCTGGGTGTGGCCAACTCAACATCACTCACATTGAGGCACGCATCTCCTCACCTGGCCTCTCGTGACTGTGGGGATGCTGTAACAATCATAAGTGTGAAAAATGGTCATAAGTCACTTTTTTCAGTGCCATTGTAACTTTGAATGGTCACTCCACACAAGCAAAGTACCAGTAAAGGAGGGGAAAAAAAACTCCAGAGAAGTTCCTGAGATAGGAAGTCTAGCCCTGCCAAGAATGTAATAAGGGTTAATGGAGAGGCAGTTTCTGTAAGCAACACCAGAATGTTTCCTTCCTGCCATTCTTATAGGATTAGGCCAGTAATTTCTTCTAACAACCAGTTCTCCGAACTGCTTAGAATGTTAACAACTGGTTCTAGCGAATAGGTGCGAACTGGTAGAATCCCACCCCTGGGCATGGCAGGGGAAGATTACTGCAAAATCCCATTACCTTCCCAGCCCACTAACCTGCTTTCCAGCTCTGTTCTCCTGTGCAGGGAAACCAAAGAAGACCCAGCCAACCAGCTGGGACTTGGGAGACCGAGAATAGATGGGGGCAGGGCCAGTCAGAGGTGGGATTTGCTGGTTCTCCGAACTGCTCAAAATTTCTGCTACCGATTCTCCAGAACTGGTCAGAACCTGCTGAATACCACCTCTGCCCATATTCATTGTGCTGGTCTTTCACTGTAATAAACTTTTTAAACTATAAAATAATCCAATTATATTTTTGTCATATTTAATTCTTTCCTTTTGGTGTTATTTTTTGGCACCTCTGTTTTTATGGCTTAGGCACTAAAAATGCTTGAAATAGCTCAAAAGCTTCTGGATCTCTGAGAGAAGCATTCCGTAATGCAGACAGGGGCTACAGCATTCTGATGTCTTTGCGGAACAAAGTGGAACATTATCATAGAGAGAATGGAAGGGAAAAAGTTG